ATTCAGATGCCAGAGAGAACTGTGTGCGTTTTTACGGTATCAACATGTCACCATAGCGAGTAAACACAAAAAAATGAAGATATTATTTAGGCCGAAAATAACTCATTATAATAAATCAAGGAGTTTGTTTTATTGTATGCATGGACTGTTGTTTCTTTTTCTGTTTTCTTTACTATTCCTATCATCTTATTATTCTCTTTGTGAGTTAGGTAATTTCAGATAGTGTATTCCATCGAATGGAAATCATTAAAAAAACAGTAAATTCATAGAAGTTAAAATAAATAAATAAGAAAAAACTGCGTAGAAAGTAAAGAAGCAGTTTATTGTGGTGGAAAAAAGCTGCTAGGATTTCTAAGCCTATGGTGACGTCTAGCAGTGGAATATAGGGCTATCGTCTCGTCCTATTTAAGACTCACTATCCCTCCTTAGTGAGGGATGACGTCCTTCCTCAGATACTCTTGCCCGATCCATGTCGTTTCAAGGGCCAAGGCATCATTAAAGTGCCCGTACTTGTAGCTAAAATATCAACAGTGACAGAGGAATATGGTTCAAATACAACTTCAAGAAAACACCGCTAACAGTTCACAGGAAAATCCATGTTGTACTTTGGGCTGAAAAGGTGGATTCTAACTATCTGATATTGGACGTATCCTACCAATGTAGGATGAAATGATTGGGCGTAAACAAACAATCTGTTGTGTAGTAGATAATGAATAATAACTACGCGGATAAAAGAATTATTTGAAAATATTATATGAAGTATATATTTTAGATGTTGTCTGGATGATGGTAACAAGCAGTGAAATCAAGGTAGAGTGTTTCATCCTATTCTGGGCTCATCGGCCATTGGCGTAGTTGATAAGTCTTTAAAAAGATGAATGCCTGGGTTGTGTCTCAATTGGACCAGCATCGCTCACAGAGGAACCAAATACATCCTGATGATAATCGCGAAATAAGACGAAGTATGTTTCATGGATTCCTCTAACTAGCCACCGTCAATTAAAATAACATCATATTGATCTTCGATCATCAAAGAGCTAGTAGTTGAAGCTAATTTGACAACAGAGACAGAGCATCTCTCTCTAACAAATCCAATTCTCATGATAATGTAAATGATAGCTTCAAACCAGATAAATTGAATTTTAAACTTCGTTCAGAGTAAAAAATAAAGCCTCAGGAACACATCACCATTTCACTCTGTTCTTTGCGGTCTTTTTTATCTGGCTTCACAATTACCCATAAGCTTTCATTTCCCCCGCACATAAACTTTTCTGTATCGCCCTTTGATGCCCAACTCGTCGTTTCATATTCATTTTCCACTCAAGGACCTGTTTTATGCGTGATACCACTAAGTGGTCGCCTCAATGTATGTCGAACCCGTCTCCATTTTCTCCCGCATATTTGTTGAGCAACGGGTTGTTGGGGGGTATTTGTAAGAGTTCCTTGTTGATTATCCTTAGGGGTCATCCGATCTCGAAGACAGATGTTGATGAGATTCTGAAGCTCGTTGTAAGAGACTTAGGTGCCTCGTCAGGTCTCTGAACCGTGTCAGAGCACTTCCTGGCTTAACATTATTGGTGAAGATACGGATCTTGTCACTAATGCTGGGTGTAGCAGATTTTCAGCCCCATATCGGAGTGAGGAATATCTGTATTCCTTTTCAGATCTTGACCAGTTTTGACGTCCTCATCTGTGCCGCCTGGGCTAGCTTACTAACTGGTCTAAAGCCTGGAAAAAGAGGGTAGGTTTTGCGTGGGGCTGGCGACTCTACCTCAGAAAATCAATCCAGTCGCTACAGAAACTTCAAATCACAGTATATCACGGATTAACTGAAGAGACGATATGTGGTAGGCTGTTGAGAGCCTTTGAGTCAACCTAAATGTCTTCTTTTGATACAAACACAAATATGCTTGAGAATATGCAATGTCCATACTTTGTTTAAAACTGATCGCAGAATAAATGGGAAGATATGATGCAGATGTGCTAGGAGTCTGTGGGAGCAGATTAAATCCTGGAGATCTCTCTGGATTGTTAACTGGACATTAAAAAGTTATAAGTGTTGTTTATTCTGAAAGGTATTTCTTATATATATTCTCAACAATCTATCAATTAACAATGAGCAAACTCTGCATTTCCTCACTAACCAATATCATACCGTAAACCTCAGACAGTCTGTTTTGTTCTTATGATATTGGGGAGTACAAAGTGTGAGAAAACACCAAATTAGTATAATTTTAAGGTAGTGGGCTGATATTAGGCAAAATTAAGAGGAAATAAAACGCTTAAATCACTTTATTGTAACAGTGAAGTAATGGATGGCCTATTGAATGCACAATAACTAATGCTTAATTATCCCTATTACATTAACCTTATTTAAAACTAAACTGTCACACACTAGTTATTTAATTCTTGGAATTTAAAATCTTAAGTTTCGAGTTTTTCTTGGATTTTCATTGGCACACTTGACTAGTATGAGTAATAATCCAATTTCACTTGTTGTAAATCAGAAGGGAAAACCTTATATCTTCAGATAGCAGCTTTACCTGTTACAATTTGAGAGGGTAAATAATAAATCTCTTGTAAAGGTCATTTGCTCAAGATTCAAAATTCTAAATTTACGGCGGGAAGGGGTTGATGTATACGTAAATCTTAGATATTTTCGTTTTTTTAGAATTATTATTGTTGTTTTGACAGTTTTCCAGTGACAAAACACAAGACGAAAAAAGGATTTTATATTTTCTTCTATTTTCTTATTCAACTGTATTTTTAATTTTTGAAGGAAAACTCGTTATATATCTTCTTTGTCTCTTTCTTTCTCTAACATTTCTATTTCTATGCTTCAATATGCCAAAAGAAATTTCAAAGCTTCTATGCATATTTTCACTTTGGGAATAAAGTTATCATTGGTGTTAGGTAAAATTATTTGAAGAATTTGAAGCAACTGTGAGAGGGTTGTGATAACCGTGACCTGTCAAATTTATGATTAAAATCAACTGAAGCAGAAAATTAACTTATTTGAAGTTTATTCGTCTTATCTGTCTAAAAAGTAGTGTATCAGTTGAACAGCCAAAAAAGAAGAAATTTGATGTGATTATTAAGAAGTCACAGAATATTTATTAAAGTTTGTTAATTTTCATCTAACTATTAGATGCTTGATGTGAGAGTGAGATAAATTGTAAATTGAATTAACTCTTTTGAGATTTAATGAATTAAAAGCTAAAAGACTGATGTAGGTGGTGAATACTACCTGGTAAACTCTGAACTATAAGAATCTAATGTGCTAACAAAAACTACACCATAGTCGTTAATCCAAATATTAAACACCACCACCAACAACATACCACCCGTAAGCGGAATTAAGAAGGGAAGATGAATAGTTGACAAGAAAGCTGTTACTGTTACCGTGGAATACAGTTACATCCAGGTGGCGCCCCAAATAGGACGAAATGCGCATCCTTGATTCCACTGCTAGTCACCATCCACAATTTAGCTTCTAACAGTCAAAACAGTTTATAGAAATGTTGGATACATATATATAGAATTTCACCATGAGCTGACATCAGTTAGAGAACCACTGGAAAACCTGGGAGTACTGGACAGCTTTTTCGTCCTAATTTGGGACTTTTCAGCAGTACGCACCCACCGGGATTCGAATCCAGGACCTTCTGGTTACAAGGCGAGCTCATAGACCATTGAGCCACTGGGACCCGATCCAATGGTTCTTGAATTCTAACTTCTGCCAGTTCAAAAAATAGCGCGACCACTTCGCAATGTCTTCCTCTACGAGTTACTGCTCCATCTTCGACCTGCTGTACCCTACTGGTCACGGCTTCTCACTAGAACCCCAGGTTAACTGCCTGAATACGGCCAGTCGCTAGTGAGCATCAGATTAATTTTCAAGTATTGGTTTAGTAGGGATTTTTTTTCGTTTGATTGTATGCAGGATTTCACCATGAGCTGACATCAGTTAGAGAACCACTGGAAAACCTGGGAGCTCATGGTGAAATCCTCCATACAATCAAACAAAAAAATCCCTACAAAACCAATGCTTGAACAGATATATAGGTTTAAAAAGGCCTTGATAAATTCTAAGTCCACTTATAAATTCATATAGTAGGCATTTATTGTGAATGCAGTTTCTAGAAACCGGAGTTGCATTGTCATTGAATTTTTCATATACTTTAACTATTATAATATCTAGTTAAATCTTACCATCCTTCATTGCATTAAGTTTATTTATGTGTGCGGTCTTATGAACTGGAGTCAACAGTGAACAGTCTGCAGTCTACTGATGGCGTTCAAATACAATTGAGGGACATCAATTATATAGTTCACTGTTAATAAATGCAGGCCCTGCACACAAGCGGTTAGAGTTCGATTTCCCAATGACGCATTCTTAAACGTTGTTTGGCTTGCTAGCTGACAGTAAGCCCAGAATAAGGGGAGGTTGGGTGTAACCCCAGCATCCGCATATTATAGAAATGCCACCATTGTGTCTGAAACTCCATAGCCTACAGCTGTATGTTCTACTCAAAACGCAAATAATGATAGGAAGAGGCACCATTACAAAATATCAGTCGTCAAATTACAAAATCATTTTATTCCCTCGTGACACTTTGCCTTCTAATTTCAACATAGAAATAAAAATACTTGACTATGTTAGTGAACTGAATTTACATCCTTTATACATGGTGAAAATGAGATTCCACTTTAAAGAGTGGTCGAAATAGCCTGTTTAGTTTTAATTGTGTCCTGTAAGCAAAGACATGTATTTCACACTGTTTACCTGCTGCTTTATGGAGTCATTAATGCTGCCTTATTGTGGCGTATTGTAGAATCTATTAGGTAAGTATTAATCAAAGTTGTAAGCATCCTGTCGATTCAAGTATCTCGTAGTTATGTAGTTATATTTATTAATATATTTGATTGTTTCTTGATATGCATTAGATTCATTCAATATCAGTAATACTGCTTTGTCTCTTCGTCTTTCACTTGCTTACCTGTCATTTGGTCAGACATTGGATTAATCGGTCGACTAGAACCAATGACTGTAAGAGGAGAATGAATTGTATTCTGTGCTTGTAGATTTGGTACTATGGAAGGACTACTAACACCATTCACAGCACCAGGAGTACCAGCAGCTGTTGCACCATTAACACCTGATAATATACCAGATGGTATGCCAAATTGACCCGCGTAACTTCTTGTTAATGAAGTTGGACTGGCAGTGTTTACATCATGTGTTGTTAGTAGTGGCGATGATGTGAACATCGGCGTCGTATATCCTGATTCATGTGAACTCTATTTTGTTCAAAATAAGGAAATAACAAAAAAAGATATGGTAAACAAGAGAGATAATAAACCGTGTTTAATTTTTTCGATACAGAGAGAAAAGTGACAATCCTGAGGGGTTTCGTACACTTTAATTGGGTGAAATAATACACGTGCAAGAATAATATATAATATACACTTTGAATTGACAGTAGAAAGTTGGAAACAATTTGCAGGAAGCCCTGGATCTCGGTCATATGCTTCTTGTAACTCCACAGCAAGGCTTTCCTACAATCTTGAAGAAACTGATGAGAATCATAGATTCGAACACACATGACGCGCCCGGTATTACATTAACATTAATTACAGCCTAAGGACCAGTCCTTATATCTATTACAGTTTCACAGGAGGTCATCTAGGTACGCTTTGAATAGTTGGACGCAGTTAACGGAAACTCATCTACTGCTGACTCATGTATGCATTCAGCTGTAGATAAAAAAATCCGAGAGATGACGAGATTACTGTGTAATTCATGTAGTCAGGTTAAGTGTATAAAAAATTCAAATATGCGTGTTTAGAACTGAACTCGTCATTTGCAAAATGAGGAGCGAGGATTTACCACTCTTTCCACCTTCTGTTTCTCACTGATTTAGCGCTCAGAGATGAGTCATTCTGAACACAGTGGTAATGATAAGGTCGGACTCAAACGAGTCAGATATCTGTCCACGGTTTGGGTCACTTCAGTCTGGCTAACGAGCGTTTCTGTTTAAAGTGGTCAGTTTCCATATACTAATATCAGTTGGTAGTAGTATAATCCATCACTTATCTATCTACTGACACCCATTTGAAATTTATTCGCCATCATTGCTTTTTACCTTAATATTTTCAAAACATTGGAGAAATTGACATAAACAATATTCAAATGGTTTCACGATTAAATAAAAAAATGTTCAAAACAGATTTCTACTGACAATATTCAAATTAGAGACAAAATAACTAACTGAAATATTGTAAGATATTTCCTAAGTTCATTGGAAAAGGTTTTACGACCAAATATAACCAATATAACCAGACAGTCTGGCAGTTGCTTATTCGAACTAATATATTGATATTCTTGAAAATAACAAAAATATTTCTGTCATTCACCAAAATTATTAACAAGCAAACTGACAGTCTTTCCACACTTTTTGTACCACCGATAGACTTGCAGGGAATATTAAAAATGTTCGTTTCACTTCATATTACGTGAAATATGATAATAAGATGTGTTGCTCATCAAATATGAATAAAGAAATGGTGGTAGATTGGACAAACGCTACACTGAGGAGACCTTCAAATGGCTTCACACGCCACACCCCTGAGTGGAATATGAATGGGGAGAGAAAAGTAGGGCACCTGACGGTGACATGGAGACGATCGTTTGTAAGAGAAGAAGTGAATGGTTGTAGGCTGTCATGCAGCCACTCGAAAGGGGTGACAGAGAACCAAGAGCAGAGGAGGCAGTCTGCTTTAAACAAAGGTTCCATTCGGAAGGCAGTGAATGACTAATAATAATTATCCATAGTTTTTTGAATTTGGTTCCATAAATTTGAAACTTTAATGAACAATACTTTTGAATTCAGTTGTCTGCAACAGAATGCATATCCTAAATCTGTAGCTGTCGAGTCATCTGACAACACCAGTAGGTCGAATAAGGCAGCTCAGTCTTTAAAAAGAAGACAAAGCAATAAGTTCGACAGAGTGCTTCACCTAAACTCTAATCCTAAACACCATAATTTTGAAAATACGTCTAATCATAAAATTCTAGATGCTAACAATTTGAAGAGACATGATGGTGTGATGTTAGCTGATACATAGCAAATCCTGATTATTAGATAAAAATGGATATGCATAACTAATTAATAATACTTGGCCGAAATTCCTAATTGTCTGTATTTTCTTGTGGGGACGTTAACAAATGTTTTGCAACTATTTACCCGCACACACATACTCTGTTTAAAGTGTTTAACAAAGGTAGACCAATATTTGTAAGTCCGAGGTCAAATTTTGATCTCAGCTCATACAGTTTTCTTTATTATACATGCTGACACCTGTTTTATGACTCATGATTGGACAAAGTTTTTAAAAACAAGATATGTTCCTTTTATATATAAACGTCTGTTATTTTAATTTCGATTAATTTACCTTAAGAAGTTCGGACCAGATTGCCGAACGAAACGTTGATATTACTCATTTCAATCTCGCTGAGATTTTACAAATATAATTTTTTACAAATGTCTACTTCTCACTCGGCGCCCAAATATTTTAGAACTATTCTGTCGAATTTTGACGACAGTTCATTTGAATCAGTTTAATTCTGTTATGCAAGAAATTGAACCCCACTTATTTTCCATGGTTGTTAATGAAATGAGATCCTTTTGGTCAGTTAATTATTTTGTCCTGATTATTTTGTACACTGAATTAGTTTCCTGTTAGCACCTACTATTAAATTTGTTTTTGATTATTAGTGGCTAGCATTGGAATACAGGATGAAAATTATGTTCTAGTCTGGAATTATCAACTTACTGTTACCGCATCTTGGTGGGAAGAAGGATGGTGATTCGGTTAACGACAGAATTTAAAACCAGTCGTTTAAAACGATAAAGTTACATCTGTTAGGCCAAAAAGACATCCCTTGTACTACTATTATTAGCTGTCATTTATCGAAACGTGTGTCTGTTCATGCTGATTTTATTTGTTTCAATATGTCATCCTCTATTCGATAAAAATTATCTGTGACTTTTTCATTGACAAGAAACTTCAGTAAATGTTAACTGTCTGATGACGGCTTATAGTAGAATCCAAGTGCCCATATATCAACAGAAATCGAACATTTCACTCCAGGAGGGTCAATTAGTCCGAAATTCAAGAGTAGTACTTCTATAAAATAACGACACCTGATAACGGTTGCCTGATATACCTCCACTCACTGCGGTTGGGGGTACATCGAGCTGACGAATCCGGGATCGAATGAAAAGCGCCTTCTGAATTTCACTGTTAGCCATCATCAATCAAATAATATCAGGATGAATGCTACTTATATATTTCTATTCATTTTTTTCAACTTGTAATAGTTTTTCCACTGTCTACGTCACATACTACTGATTGATTGACGTTAGTAGGTAAAAATCACTTACGCCAACCAGTAGTTATTCCTATTCTAATCAAAGTGAGCTAAATACCTTATTGGGCATTTCACCTGTTTGGGACGGGCTTACCATCGCTGACTAAGCTCAGTTCGAACCACTTGAATGTTGGCCAGCTACTTGAGTGAGCTGGTAATGCCTTAATTCAAAAACCAGTTTGCTAATGAATTCATGATCTTCAGTTTACGCGGTTCGAGGAGAAAATTCACCATAGTTACTTTTGGAAAACAAAATTATTCAGACCACAATATACGGGATATGCTTGATACAATTATTGGTAATCAATGTTTTGACTTAAAGTATTCCGCTTTTCATAATAAATCTCATCACCAGTAATTAATATCAGTCTGCATTAGATTAGCTTTTCAGTGTCGTATTTAGAACAATTAACTGTACTGTTCTTTTTTAAAAATTGAACCATTTCGCAGCTTTGTACAGCAGTGTTGTCAATACCATTTCACATTAAATTGTGCAAGTGTTAATTCAGCTTACACTGTTTGTCAGGTAATAGAAAAATAAAAGTTAACTCACTGTGATCATTGTAAACGAGACTACACACAGTGAAAAAGAAGTGAAAACAAGCAAACTTTTCATATCTATAAGATGAACGGCATGAAATCAGTTCACCACACAAAATATGCTGTATCAAATTGATGAAAAAATACATAGAAATAGAGGAGAGTGAGAGTTTATGCATGTTGGAGAGGTAGTAGCAAATCATAATGAAAACAATTGATAAAGTCATAATAATGTCTTATTCCTCTTATTCATAGTATTATTATTATTAATATGTAGGCTGCACATTTTGTTGCATATTTCATACATGAAAAAAAAAGAAAAACAAATGGAAACAGAAAACAGGTGATTCTGATACTACTTATATAAATGCATATAAATATGCAGTCAGTGTGTTCAATGAACTAGGTTTTCTATATTTTTTTAATCTCTGAAGAAGTAAAACTCTGAAGTGACTGAAATTATTCTATTATGTAAATAATGTGCAATTTGCGATTCTTAAAGTGCAGAGTTTTATCCTGGTATCATATTTCAAAAAATGAACGTAAATTTAATTCAGCAAACGAGAAATGAACTAACTAACCAACCAACTAACTAACTAATTTATCTTGACCATATACTGCCAAGATACTAAGAATTTGTTGTAGTACTTTCTTTTGTTTTTAACCCTAAAAGTTGTTAAAAATAATACACGTAGTTATTTGGTTGGTGGTTGCTTTCACTGGGGTCCATAACACGAGCTCCAAGTTATCTGTGACGAGTCAGCTGGACGTGCTTTATCCTCAGCAGATGATTTAGCTCCCACTGAGACTTGAACGTAGCACTCATCGTGCAAATGCCAAAGATTTATCGGCTAGGTCATTTGACAGCGGTAGTCACGTCTTGTGCAATGGATGTCAGTTATTATTTGTTTAACTTCAGTAACCAACCATTCCTAACCAGTTAAAGTTTATCCATGGAGAAAATTAAAAGAAGCCTAAGCATTCAATTATTGTGGCGTCTTGAAACTGGTCATTGTTGTTACTGAATGAGAATACATTTTAAAAACCTTTATTTCTTCTCTAGCAACTAACTCATTTTACTACATGTTTGCTTCTGTTTTTAGTCAATCATTTACTGTTATCATCCAGTCTTACATGTCATTTTTGTACATTTCATTAATCAGTCTGTTGCTCTCACCTCCTGCTCAAACACAACAAACAAGTTCAGAAGGGTGCTTAAGAAAATCAACGTCAGATTATTGTTTAGCTCAGACAAATTACAAAGTAATCTTGTTTAGGTGAAATATTACGGTCTAACTGTGGCTATAAAATGAGGTTCCGGTACTGTTCTATAATAAACCAAGGCCAGAAGAAACAAATACTGTAAATTTTTAACCCAAATGTCGAGAAACCTAATGAAAGAGGTCTGGAAGATCTGCCAGAGATTTAAATTCTATCGAGTCACGTCAAAGATTACCTTTGATAATATTGAAGTCACTTAGGAGTAATGTCAAAAAACGAAGAACGTGTCGCAGCAGAATCACTTGACATAGAATAGAACCCAAACTTTCTTAATAGGAATGAAGTGTTGAGACAATTTAACTTTTATTTAGAGCCCTTTTCCTAATTAACTTAATCAACACAAATATGATAAACATTTTCCATTGCGTAAAGGCAATCTCGTTTTATAATTTATACACTTATCGAAACATTCTGGGGTTTACAGTCATGGATGTGTACTGATGAAGACACCGGAGTAGGTTGAAACAGATTCCCAGTGTTCTCCAATGTCAGTTCGTGATCCAACTCGAAATCCATCAAGCCCCTTGAAAGCAGCACTTAAAATAGTTTCAGCATCAAGTATTTGCCTTTATTTTTACAGCGCTGACACAAATCTTAAACTTATTGTTGAGCATAGTACCAGCTATTGCAAGACCGTAAGATCATATCACCTATTGTAAGTTTCAGTGCAGATGAAATAGTTTAAATGTACACATCTGGTGAGTATTTTAGCGACAAATAAAGAGAATAACTAACCTCACATACTGAAATAGGAAGCCCAGATAAGGTTGACTGCAGTAGACCTGATGAAAATGGAGTGGGTGAACACATCAATGCTGGATTAGAAACAGCAGGTTTTGGTCGGTATAGAATAACTGGACCTTTCGTTGGACACTGTAATACAAATCAATTTTAAAAAAATGATAAGTAATGCCATCTTTTGAATGTTTGGCATCTACAGGCTTATCTGATTATTTTGCAAAAACGTTCGATTCAAGTCATGTAGCGTAACAGGAGAACGGACTGAGTATCAACAACTTAACTATATATTTGTATACATTTATGTGCATAAGGTGAATTATTTCACTACAAAGTATTTTTAGTACTGGTTGTAATTCATTCTATTTCTTAAATGAAATATGTACGCATATATACATTTATGACGAGCAGCAACAAGCACGAAACCTAGGTACAAGGCTTACTGCCAATTACTTCTAGAATTCATTCAAAGTATATCCTTACGGTAAGTCATTCATCTAGATTACTCACCACGTTACAAACTTGACTGATAGAATTTAGTCGTCACCAACACTAAGGTTTGAAATACACTCGACGACTAGTCAACGTGTTTTTATTACAGTCCTTCAAGAAATCTGTCGTCAGCGCGAATAGTTCAGCCATAAAGTCTCTGAGCACAATAATGGTTGAGGCCAGTTCTGCTCTTCAAGGAGATATCACTTTTTTAGAGGTTACGAATTTACCTTGATGACTGCTGTTACAGTCATTAAACCTAAGCCCAGGTTATCTTGCCAATTGCCTCAAGTCACTTAACACAAAACGTTGTTGTCAAGAAAACTTGACAATAGGATAATCGTGATCATGATAAATGTTTGCTTTAGCATACAATTATCACCAAACAATAGTCATTTTATAACCTTAACCTAGGGATAAAAATGATGAACTAATCCTGTCATGAATGAAGGAAAAATAAAGACATGCAGAGGAAATTTTTTACTGACTTAGAGAAGACAAATGTACACAAAGTAGAAGTATCTAGAAATTAATTTTTACCTAGACTAAACAATCAACAATCACAAATTTGCGATTTTTCTATAAAAGTATCATAAAATGTACATATTAAATACAGAATAACTTACCTCTAAGAAAATGTCACATAACAGCTGAATACATTTTGAAATCGCATCCGCTGTACCTGATATTGTGACTGTTCTTTCAGTTGATGTTGGTAAAGCTTCACTAGCCACTTGGATTGAAGCGCCAGTTAACTAGAAGTCGATCAGACGAATAATGCAATAAAAAAAGAATAGAATTATAACAAAGCTAGTAAATTAGCAATTCCTTAAAGCAGTGTTATATTGTTTGTTAGTGGCTAGCAGTGGAATCCAGGGTGAGAATTTCGTCTCGTTTGGTACTTATCATCTGGACATGTCTGCATTCCCACTGAGGAGTGATGTTTCCACTAGGACTCAGATCCAACAGTCATCATTTCAAACTCCTAAGCGCTATCCACCAGGCTATTTGGGCCACGACGTGCACCTTTTGTACGATTGGTACTAGTTAGTATTTGATTTCATGTTAACTTTGTATCTCTCTGTCTGATAAGTCCCAGGTGGGACGAAATGTGCATCCCAGATTCCACTGCTAAACACCATCCATCAAATAACACCACACTAACCCTTGAACACTGTCGAAGCGTTCGTACTAGTATCCGACATATCAGCACAGACCACACATTTCGCTGCAATATAATTAGTCAACGTGAAATGCGAAAATTAAATTAATTTAAACAAATACTTAAAATATCAAAATTTCACTGAATAGTACTGAGAAGAAATGTAGATTACTGTATGAGCGGATGCAGTAGTTTGAATGATTTGGCGATTCTTAAAAATATCTTCCTTGAAATTAATGAACAACAATATGGTCTAAAATATATTCCAAAGTATTTTGAGTGCTGCTAAGAGAAAACCATATATCACATTGTCAGCAAAACTTTATGTTATGAGAAAAGGCTCTTCAAAGATTAAGAATACTGAGCTAATCTATTTGAGAGAGTACAGCAGTATCGAATTGCTGACAGCTTGTAGTCTGAAGCCAATATAAAATGCTCTTACACAATGCTAACATTTGACTTTCATCTGTGAAGCTTTCACTTTCATTGTCGACATAGTTTTCAGTAATTTTTACACAAAACAACTTATTTGGGTTAATTTGCATTTCTGTTGATTGATTATATTTCACAGAAATGCTCGGCCTTTATTGACAAGTCATCTGCTAGTATGGAAAGTACGACGATATCTGAGGATTAACGGAATGTTGTTTTGGTTGATGGTGACTAACAGCGGATTTCAGTGTTCGCATTTCATCTTATTTGAAACTTGTTAGCTGGAAATCATTGAATTCCCAGTGAGTGATGGTGATCCCACAAGAAATGTAAATTGACCTGAAAACAAAATTATAACTGATTCTCCTTAAAAAAATGATTCTTATGGCCCTGGAAGCCTCGTGAATAATGCTCTGGTGTTTGAAACAATAGTTCCAGAGTCTAAGCCTCAGTGAGAATACCACCACTTGCTGGGAATTCAGGAACATACAGTCGATAAGTTCCGAATAGGATGAAGTGTGTATCCTTGATTTCACTGCCAGTCATCCCCAAACAAAATTAGTATGTAAACATTGAATTCTGTAGACTGGATAAACTGTCACAGAACCTAATATGTCAGCTTCAAACGTTTATCCTTATATTGAAAATGCTGTTGTTGTTTTGCATTGCCTGATGATGTCAAAACGGTTTTAACCTGCATGTATTTTGAAAAACAAACTTGTGAAATAGAAGGTAACAGTACAACAAATGAGTGGCAAACAATGGAGACACCATGAGCCAGGTATTTTGTGAAACTTTGTGAACTTCATTATGTGTTGTTATGGTGGATATTTCCCCACCCTCCTGCATTCCTTCCTGTAATTTGAAGTTCATTTTATTTAAACGCTGACAGAACACTGCAACGGTGACGACAACAACGACCTAAGCTTCTATATTGTGCTAATTTACATTGTCACACTATTTCCTCCTTTATTGCATATTGTTCATTTAATTCTGTCTTACAAGGGATAAATTAGGTCATCTATGAACGCCAATCATACATACATACATACTTGATGCATACATACAAATGGCTGTGTTTGAAGAACTTCATGATAATTATCTACTTTAGTAATAAATGGAAATTATTAATTATAATAGACACGTGTAAGGTCAATTAGCTATAGGATAGATAGCTACTTCAGTAGTCAGCAGTTATTATTCATAATGACTAGGAACAAAATGCAATATTTCGTGTTTTTTTCACCTAACCTATACGAAGACTTTACTTTATTCAGTGTAGTTGAAATAAAGCAGTAATAACAAGTTTAGCATATTTCTTAACTGGTTGTAATTTTATTTTTTCACGTCATGCTCACATGTGCACTGTAATGTCTCATGTTATCCAGTCACAAGCACTTTTTTGGATCATTCCTACAATCTTGAAGCGAGGGCTTTATTTAGAGCGCAATGCTTTTATTCAAATTGTGGCTTTTGTAGGCAGTGGAATTTATTCCATTTACAATTCAGGGGCAGTAAAAAATGTTTCCTTATAGTTCGATTCTTTTCAAAAGTGAATACCGACGACCCCATCAGAAACAAATACCCTGAAGTCCTACTGTGTATTCATGACTAGCGAGAGTCACTATGTCAGGATATAGCGGATGTTCAGAGTTGGCACTGGTACGCTTTAAGGTGAAGTGAAGTTTATTGATATAAGAATAAAACTTATGCACTGTGTTAGAGTATAATTCCACAATGGGTAAATTTTTGTTTTGATAAAGTCTCACACTGTTATACAGTAATGTTTACTGATGAGGTTTCAATCACAATTTATTGCTCATAATCATATCAAGGTGATATGATTATGAGCAATAAATTGTGATCGAAACCTCATCAGTAAACATTACTGTATAACACTGTGTGAATTGAAGTTTAGTTCTCTGAATTTAGATTCATTGGCTGGATACTCAGCATGTTGGCATTACAATTTGAAATTCCTGGGTTTGACTACTGAAGAGGCGGTTGGTGAGCACTGCTGAGAATTCACAAACTGAGACCAGGCAGTTGTCCAGTTCCATTTACTTTTCAACTGTTCTTCAACTTCTGTTGGCTCGTGATGAAATCTGTCATGAATTTAATACTTTCAGACTGAACTTCAACAGTGTTTGATGTAAGAATAGAACTTGTGCACTGTGGAATTGACAGGTGTCTCGTAATCGCAGTAAAATATCACCCGTATTAGAATTAAATGTGGGCTGTCTGTCTTCATAAGGTAGTAATTATGGGCTTGGTACCTAGCGGAATTGTATATGTGTGTTTGTGCAGAATTCCCTGTCTTTAATAGATATTTTAAGTAACAATAGCTTTTGACAAAGTTCATCTTGACACTAACCAGATCACCACAAATCTAAAATTAGAAGTCTTCCAGTATTTCTATAATACATAGGGAATGTAATCCATTAATCCCCTGTTTATTATTGATACTTAAAGCGATACATGTAATATAACTGTAACAGTAATAAATAACATAAGTCTACATATATTACTTTTAACTAGTCATAGATACTTAGCAGGTTTCGTTTTCACACTTCGTAAAAACTTTGTTCACAGTTTTTACGAGTAGCTGTGGTTCAATGCTACAACATTTACCAGCCAGGATTTAAGCCCCGGTTTAAATCCTGACCTCTGAACATCATGACGTCCATTAGTTTACCAGTTTTTAGGGGATCCCTAAAGAGGAAAAGCCTGGGAGTGAGGCATGCAACCCCATCCATTAATAAAAACACAGCACTACCATAACTGAAACTTCAAGGTATGAATCCCATAATTGACTGTGCATATTATTTGTTTTGGCAGTCATATTCTCACTTTGTAACCTCCCTTCCCCGGGAGTGCAGAAATAAATCTTGTCCTCAGGGACTTATCGGTTTGAGTGTGTAATAACAGGCATTTTCTGATCACTCTTCTCAACTGTTTGTTTCAAATTACTGTTAGCAAACATTTCTAGTTTCCTAATTCGTGATCTGTCACACTTTAAAGACACCCATGTGGAGTATTATTTAGTCGATACAGTCGGATTTGACTGCTTCTCAAAATGAACCAACCATATAATAACTTAGTCACTCCAAGCAGTAGTTTTTCTGCATTCTGTTCAGTCACAAAGTGTCGATAACAGAAAATACTGAAAATACTCTTTGAGTCACGAAGAAAATAAGAGACAATACAGCAAAAAGAATTTTCTTTGTCGATGAAGTCATCTTCAAAGGCTGTACAGTCATATCTATATTTATCAGAAATGTACATTAGTCCGCTACTGAGCTATTTAAGGTTGACATAATTGATATAACTACTTAGAAGTGGCTTCAAAATTAGAAGTTATGAGGTACGTAATACTTAGTGGCACAGAGGAAGAAGGAGCTAGAAATTGGATAAGGTTTAAATTGAAGCATTGGTTTGTAGGGATTTGATTGATTGGTTACAGGATTTCATCATCAGCTGACATCTGTTAGAGATCCATTGCAAAACCTGGAAGTACTTCACAGCTATTTCGTCTTAGTTTGGGACTCTTCACAGTAGGCACCCGCCCATAGGATTTGAACCCCGTATCTTCTGGTAACAATTTGAGCTCGTAGAGCATTAAGCTCCTGGGACCCGATCCAACGGGCCCAAGAATTCCGAATTATGCCAAGTCACGATATAGTGTAACGACTAGCCAATGTCTTAAACGAGCGTTTGTTCTCACATCCGGCCTGTTGTACCTTTCTGCTGTGAAGAGGGCGAGAAAATGTACAAATGAACCTTTTTTATCACTGAATAATAATTCTAATTTTATTCAATTTCTAGCCCCTTCTTCCTCTGTGCCACTAAGTATTACGTACTTCATAACTTCTAATTCTGAAGCCACTTCTAAGTAGTTATATCAGTTATATCAACCTCCAACAGCTCAGTAGCGGACTAGTATACATTTTTGATAAATATAGATATTTTCAAGTATTGGCTTTTATAAGGATTTTTGTTTGATTTCACGGAGGATTTCATCATGAGGTGACATCAGTTAGAGAGCCACTGGAAAACCTGGGAGTACTGGACACCTGTTTTTTCCTAGTTTGGGACTCTTCAGCAGTACGCACCGACCGGGGTTCGATATATAGATATGACTGTACAGCCTTTGAAGATGATTTCATCGACGAAGTGTCTTCTCTGGATGAAATATACATTTTTCCAGGGAAAATTAATAAACAACATTGGTATTCCCAAATTCTAATCGATAACCCCAAGGCAACCAGCGATACAATATAACAAAGGTAACTGCGATATACACTGTTTCATTTATCATGAAACACGGAGTAGTTGAAGTGTTTAAATTAGAAACCAGAAGATAAAAAGTAACAAACCAAGCAGGAGCTTATTTTACCTCTCGAACGTCCTTGATTTTAGAGCCTCCTTTACCAATTATTGAACCACACTGAGTAACTGGAACTAATAAACGCAGTGTGACTGGTGGGCAACTGACTGTTTCATCACCCATTCGTAATAACCCCTGGGTAAAATCCTAGGAAAAATGAAATAGAGAAAGTTTAGGATATGGTGAAAAATTTATTCATTTTATGATTTGATTAATTCGTTAGCTATTTTGAACATAATTACTTTAAATCAGCACAAGTGGATTACTAGTTGACCCTTTTTAAAATATAAAATTAACTAAGGCAGAGTATAAAACATGAAGTGACTCTTTCTTGACCAAAGCCAAAGTATTTTCTTCTCTAAATCAAAGTGTTATTATCGCGTTTTGAGTAAAATTAGATTTGACAACAGCATTCTGTAGACAACTTCTGATCAACCATGAGAAGGATTGTAGCGGTAGGACACTGAAGATTGAGAGAGACAGGAGAAGTGGTTTCCTGTCATAATAGTTACTGTGCAATATAATTATTGCTTATTTGTCCACTGCAAAATCTCAAAGAAATAAACTAGACTATTTTCATAACAAATCAATATTCACCAGGAGTACCGTCGCAAATCAAAGAGTACGGAATAGGATTTCACTGCAGACATAAGTTTATAAACTGCGTCATAAAATGCAATTTATACAGATGTTATAAGATAAATTAAAACGAAACCATCACACGGGAAAGTGAAGACAAATGCCTGCAGATAACAACTGACAATGCTTATGATATTTTGAAGCAATAAAACACTTGCTTCATGAGAGTATACTCACTGTGAGGGGAGAAGTGGAGATCTTTCGAGCCCCCTAACTTATGTAGATTCAACAGTGGATGACGAAGTATAATATATTTCAGTACTGTTCAACTTTTCCAAATCTTCTAGATGAAATGAATTTAGAAAAATGATGATTTTCAAATTCCTTTCTTTATCTACTTGGGAATAAGCTGTATTTTGGAAGGGATTTCCTCATCATCTCCCTCTTACATTATTAAAAACAAAACATTGATGTCTACAGCCATCGAATAAATGTCAGAATATAACAACAAATATCATTAGCGACAATGCATGACACTCCAGTTTATATTCGTCAAGTTATTAGGACACAGAAAGAGAATTTCATCTGTTCAACTTTAGTGTTAATCTTGTTTCTTGTGCTGAGTGCAGTAGATTCTCATACTGATTTCAGACCAATGAAGGTCTATCTTGGTTTTCCGATCCCAGCTTTGACAACCTCATATGTTCCTCGTGTATTTGAAACAACGCAGCTTATATAAATGAAAGGACTGAGTTCCTTCAAGTTTCTATGGTTGATAATGATTGGTGCTCGTTGTTGTTCTTGGGGTGTTTTCATAACCTCTGTTTTCTCTGTGTTCACTTGAAGTCCTGTCTTTGCTAGTTTTCGCCCGCGGGTTTTGTACGTATGTTTGTATGACATTAGACATGAATTGTTTGCGAAGTCCACGTCCTTCAGAGTCTTCTTGTCGGTTCCATGTATGTCTGTCTTCTCCCTCCACACGGTCTTTCACATAACTCAGTGCCAAGCAATAAGGAATATCGTAGGTGGTGTTAGACTGCTTCGTCTTAATTTTGCCTCGAATTCAAACGCTTCAGTAGGCTTGTGAACCACTTGACATGTGGCACTGTCATGTAGGTGTTGAATGAGGTTGATTAGGTTTTGGAGTAATCAGTAATGTTAAAGCAGTTTCCAGATTACTCTGCAGTCGACTCTGTGGAAGGCTTTTTCAAACCTAATGAAGTTAGCCGCTCTCCTATGTCCTGTTTTATGATGATGCAAAGAATCACAATATGATCTGCGTACGGTTTGCTTTTTCCGAATCCAACTTGTTTTGGGATAAGTTTTACACTCAGAAAATCGCTTATATTCTTCAAGTTGACGTGAATTGACATTTTGTCAGGGATAGACAAGAGCATGATTCCGCGATAGGTTTTGCAAAGACTAAAGTCGTTTGAAAGGGTAACTTCTCCCCCTTGGGGAAGTACTTTTCCTTCCTTCCAAACTTTCTGCAGTATTAGAGTGAACGAAAATTCACTCAGTCTAGAAAGGTGAAAATATTCTTACCAAGAGAAACTACCATATCATTTTTGACACAGTTTATTTTTACACTAAGGTATGTTACTATTATTATCGTCCACATAAGATGTATGTACACCAGTACATCTGTCAATGAATTGAAAAACTGTTACAATCATAAAAATAATTAATCATTAGTGCAGTAAAATAAAACTATCTACAAATCACGGAATATACACATTTGATCATAGGAAATAAAAAGACAGTTGCAGCGAAGAAAATTTTCTTTTCGACGAAATCATCAACTAGGCTGTACATTCGTGTATTTATAATAAATGGGCAAGAAAGTTCCGGAATAATTTATGGTCAAGGGTCAGATTAATGGAATTACAATTAGGAACTAAAATGCCATACTAAGGAGGGGGACGAATAGACCTCAGAAGAAGTAGCATCATAATTACTGACACTTATTATTATTAATTATGATGCTACTTCTTCTGAGGTCTATTCGTCCCCCTCCTTATTATGGCATTTTAGTTCCTAATTGTAATTCCATTAATCTGACCCTTGACCATAAATTATTCCGGAACTTTCTTGCCCATTTATTATAAATACACGAATGTACAGCCTAGTTGATGATTTCGTCGAAAAGAAAATTTTCTTTGCTGCAATTGTCTTTTTATCTACAAATCATGAAAGTTGTCTGCAAGAGAAAAAGAGCAAATAAAATAATATTAATAATAACAATAGTAATATTCTTTACTTACATCTTCAAACTTTTGACTCATTAGTGTGAATGCTATATAGATTTGTTCAGTAGTTCCAGTTATCGTCACAATCCTTTCTGGACTGGACCCATCTGATATGTTAATTCTTGCTCCACTCTAAATTGATAATAGCATAATAGTGGAAAAAAACGTAATGAATAAATGAAAAAGATAAATCGATGTCTGATTTTTAAACTAACGGAGTGGTAATTATGTCTTCATGCTTACATCATATCATCATTAGTATTATTATTCGTCTCTTTGGTTCCTAATGGAGCGTAGAGCATCTGTTATCCATTGCCATGTCACTGTACTCTCTACAGTCTCTTTTCGCTGGATTTACGGTTGCCCACAAGCTTTCGCTATCTCTTCACGTGATCTTTTAGTGTCATGTTAGAGCATCTAACCTTTTACTTCCCATTCGAGTTTCACTTCGAGGGTCTACTTGGCGTGTGACTTAGCTCAACGGTCTTCTCAGAAAATGTTCAGTCCGTCTGTATTCTAGTCTGTATACTAGTTGAACGACTGGTCCTTTTTCTATTCGTTGCCTGTTAGATTTTCTTGTCACTTGTCCATTCAGTCTGGTCTTCAGTATCACAGAAGGGTACCAGCTCTTGATGAAAATTTGAGACAGGCTGATGGGAATGCTGCCTGTGATGCGGCGAATCTCTGAGCCATGGCGAAGCACTTACCGATCAGAAATTCATGTTGAAATTTCGGGTCATGTTTTGTGCTGATTGTTGCTGCACACTGATGATGTCCATAATGATTTCGCCTAAAAAGTCCACTTTTATGCAGTCATGGCATTAGAACTCACAACATGTCCAAATGTTTTGAATACAGTTTTTGTGTTTGTATGACTTTTGATCAGTTTTACAATCCTAGTAAATGTTTGAAGCTTCATTTCGCCTAAAATTTGCTAATATGGAGTACCTAAATTTAGACACGTTCAATTTAACATTGTAAACACAAATAATATACTGTATTTTTAGAGGTTAAAACAACATTTATTAGGAACAAGATACTAAGTGATTTTTCGTAACTAACAGTAACTGGACACATATGCTTTTAAATAAATTGAACAAAATCAGAAATAGGCAAAGGTCTGACAGTTATCCAGGAGGGGGGAATGAAAACACAGGAGGTGGATACACAGATCAATGAAATCATGAGGAGTAGGGTGACTGGAGTGCACAAAGTATTAGTATAGGTGTACTGATATACAGCGGGAAAGAATAACTTCAGGGTTGTTAGACTTACAGTGTAACTCTGACTGAACTGTATGGAACTAAGTATTTCTTAATTGAATATATATTCCAAAAGACATCAAAATAAACAAAAGATCAAATGGAATTAGAGTAGATTGAACCTGACAGTGGAAGAGTTAATGTATTTGATTTCATTGACAATTCCAAACAACACAGATTAGGTTACAACATATATTTAACACATATAAAATATCACCTGACTAGCCAATCATAGGGGAAAGATCTTCGGTTTTTCTAGTTAGTAAACATATTTACAAATTTTTTGCTTTCTTTTTTTTCTCCGTCAAAAATTGGGGCTTCAAGCTTTAAAGTTTCAGTATTAATGGTGTTATTATTACTGATGGAGTTACTAGCCTGAAGCTCGACCTTTCCTCTTTCCTGCGTCTACTGTTAGCTGGAAAACCAGGAGATGTTTGGGAGTAAGTTAGTCAGGAATGAAATCTTGATCAAAACAATTAGAACTGTACACTTTCTGAAAAGTGGCATCACACTCCAAGTGTTCATCAATTCACAAAAAGAAAAATAGAAGTAATAAAATGAAGTAGAAAGATCGTGTTTAACGCTTATCTTTAATGAGCCATTTCCTCAGTTTGTAGCTGTATTATTTAGATGTATATTTTATGAAATTATACTGTCTCCACAGGAGTTCAATAGCTTTTGATACTTATTAATATTGTTCCCTTGTGTTCCGAGTGGAACATAGGGCTTCAAAAACACATCTCCACTTTGTTCCATTTTCTGATGTCCTATCCAGCTTGGACCACGATTGCTAAAACTGTATCACCTTTTTCTCACACGATCTCCTCCATGTCATCCTAAGATGACCCACTCGTTGCTTCCCATTTGGATTCCACTCGAGGGCCTGGCACGTGATGCCATTCGATGACCTCCTCAACGTAGGCCCGATCATCTCCATTTTCTCCTGCATATTTGTTGAGCGGTCGGCTTGGTTGGGTTGTTCCACTGCAGAGCTTCTTGTTGCTTATTCTTTCTGGCCCGCCATTCAATCTTCAGTATGGAGCGAAGGCAGCTGTTGATGTAAGTTTGCAACAGGTGGTTGGAAATCGTTTACGTGACACGCAATGCGACTTTCTGACCCGTACAGAAGGGCCGACTTGATATTTGTGTTGAAAGTGCAAATTTTGTTCTTAATGCTGGCTGAGTGCAGAAGATTTCCAAACTGGTTTCAGGTTAATGACTACCTAACTTGCTTGTCTTTCCGCTTCTGGCTGGCTGGCTGGATTTGACATCTTCATCCTTTCCGACTGCCTGTAGTTGAAACGATGCTTCCTGGATAAATGAAGGAGGTAACTTCTGTTAAATCTCTCCCGCTGATGATAATTGGTGCTGGTTGTTGTTGGTTGATTAACTTCATCACCTCCTTCTTCTCTGTGTTCACTTCGAGTTTTGTCTTCGCCGATTCTTCAGCCAGTTTGTTGCTCTTCGTCTGCATGTCATCGAGTTTGTGTGACATTAGACAAATAACATCAGCGAAATCCAGATCTTCTAGAATCTTCTTATTGGTGGTCCAGAGTATTCCTGTCTCCTCACTTCCATGCACAGTCTGACGCATAATCCGGTCCATTACAATTAAGAATATCATCGTGGGTGATAATAAGCAGCCTTGTCTTACTCCTGTATTCACTTCGAATGCCTCGCTGAGTTTTCCGTTGTTGATCACCTGACGCGTGAAATTTTCATTTAGCCAGCTGTTGGATGAGGTTGATAAAGACCTGAGAACTGCACGTTGTGGCGTTTAAGTGGTTTTCAAATTACTTCTCGATCAACGCTACGCTGTCGAAGGCATTTTCGAAGTCGATGAAGTTGAGGTAGGCTTTTGGCTCTCATTCTGTGCTTTGTTCTGTGATGACGATGCGTAGAGTTGCAATTTGACCAGCACAGCTTGTTTCTGTTGGCAGCGTCCTGAATCCTGTGCATCTTTTATTTCCTCCAGGATGATGCGTCAAGAGCATTATTCCACTCCAGTTCTTACTGAGAGAGAAGTTAGTCGCCCTTAGTTGGCAGCTTGACAAGGCAGGCAGTGTTTCTTATAGTTGGTACCTTTCCTTCGTTCCAACCCTTTTGTAGTAATCGCATGAGCATATTTGCAACAGTTTCTGGGTCATTTTTCAGTGCTTCCGGGGTAATTCCGTCTGACCCTGTTGCCTTCCCAACCGGATTTCAGTAGCTTGATCGCTTTCAGTATTTATGCCGTTGTTGGAGGATTGGTGTCCACTGGCAGGCAGTTCTGTGCGCGATGTTGGTGGAAGGGGTATTTCTGGGCGAGTTGCAGATGGCGGTCGATTCACACGTTTCATTTGTTTCTCCTGCTTGGTGATCTGGTCTCCTTGGGCATCTTTTACTGGTTTCATCATCTGGGTTGATTTCTTCCTGGATAGGGATCTGGTTATCTGATGTAATGTTCTGAGGTTTCTTTTACCAGCGCCCTGCCTGCCAATTCTGCTTCAGTGGCCAGCTAGTGTTTTGGAGCATTGTTTTTATCTTTCCTGGCACTCTTCACTTCTTTATTCTGTGCAGTGAACATTGAACTCAGCTCCTCCTTCTGTTCTTTTGTCCATCTGTGCAGTTAGTCATCTCTTTCACCATCCTCCTCTTCTCGATTAGCTTCCAGGTATCCATTGACAGCTATTCCTTGTCTTGTCTCTTCCTTCTTCCTCAAACAGTTGTACACGTTTCCTTAAATATCGCTTTCAGAGGGTTCAAGTGTTCTTCCACATAGGTTTCCTCAGTGATGCCATGTAGTGTGTCCGACTTCTCTCTGATAGCTGTAGCGAAGGAATGCTTTGTAGTTTGTCCTTCAGTTTCTGAATATTGAATTTGAATTGTGGTCCGTCTCCACATTGTGTCTGTTTTGGGAATAAAGTAAATCATTATTATCGATATGATTATGAGCATTAGTTTGTGCTCGCAACGTCATCAGTTAATATTACTGTACACTGAGTGATTTATCAAAATAAAATCTTATCCATGATAGAGTTATACTCTACCAAATTGCCCAAGTTTTATACTCATATCAATAATTTGATTCTTTTTGGCTTGCATCCGCACCAACAACTTTGAAGAAACTAAAGTCCCCTCGATGACTCTTATCCACGTCACTTACTGGTATGATGGGACAGCACCCAAGTTTTATAATTATGGTCTGACTCCATTTGCTTTCATGGATTTCAGCCTCACCTTGAAGGTTCCTTGAAATAGATGATGGTCTGAGCCCAAATCACCTCCCCTTCTCGATTTTGTATCCAGCAAGCTGCATCTCCACTTCCTTGAGGACCACTGAGATGAAATCTATCTGGTTCGTGGTATCCATCAGGCGAATTCCATGCTGCTTTGTGTACATCCTTGTGTTTGTACACGCTCCCTCCGATCACCAAATCGTTGCAAGAGCAGAGGTCTGCGAGTAATTCTCCGTCCTCATTCATTTCTCCGAGAGCCTCTCGACCCATGATGCGTTCTCTTCCTGTATTATCTGCTCCCAGTTTGCCTGATATTCATATCGCCTATAGGGATCTTGACGTCACCACTCAGGATGTTGTCCATCAATGTTTGCAGTTATTTGCAAAAATCACCCTTCTTTTCTTGTTCCGCGTTGTTGAAGACCAGAGAGTCCTGGACAGCTGTTTCATCCTAGTTTGGGAATTACGTACCCAATTGGTTCCAACCCAGGACAATTCTGTTACAAGTTGAGCTCATAAAACGCTAAGCCACTGGGACCCGATTCAATGGTTTATAAATTCTAACTTCTACCAGTTCGTGATTTAGCGAGGCCACTAGCGAATGTCATCGGCGGAGAATCCATCCTCACACTTGACTGGATAGACCTCATTGGTCACGACCTCTCACTAGAACTCCATGAAACTCCGTCCTATAGAAAGTCACTAGAGAGCATCAGGTGCAAATTTCATGAACCATGTTGATAAAAAAGGAAGAAATCGAAAAGGTGAATTATAATAATCACAGGTACTCTGGACTATTTCTTTCTTGCCAGTAGCTTTTTTGATTGATATGAATTTTTTGTAAATACCTAATCTTTCCGATCCACTGGTATACTGAAAATGGCAGTGTTTAGCAATTCGTCCATGTGTAAGCAATAATTTTCGAAATGTGTTGGGATGAGATAAAACATAAAACATTGTTAGCTGTACCTAGTTTGCAACGATACTCTAGCTATCGATAGTTTGCCGTGAAAGCCACTGTGTCTAAGAACTGTCAGCTTTTTATACAATTTGATTCATTCCTTCACATTCCCAGAGGACCATAGGGCTTCCAGCTAGAGGCTTGAAGTTTCCGTCGCAGTGGTGTTTATTTTTACAGGATGGGGTTGCCCAACCTTCCCTCTATACCAGCTTTATTACTTATTGGCTTAGTCAGGTAGAGGAATGCGTTGGACAGGGATCGAACCCCGGATCACATGCGTGGTCGGCGAGCATTCTAGCGCTGTGCCGTCAACGCACACTTATGCATTTTGTCGTTCTGTGTTTATCTTCGCTTGAATATGGTCAGAGTTAGAGCAATGGAACATATTCAGTCATACATTCCATACTGTTATTGCCTATCATTTTGATTGTGTTAGACTAGCCGTTTCAGGATTTATGTCTGTGAAATGTTCAGAATATACAATAGCAGTGTCATTAATTGTTTTCAGCACGAAATGTTTACAGACAGTTAACAAAATTATAACACCATGCATGTTTTAATTTAATAAAAATAGTCTAACTGATAATATGATATTTGGTTCTGTTATATAACAAAACCTTTCCCATTTTAATAGTTAATAGGAAAGCCAAATAGAACATGATTTTTCTGACACTTTGGTTTCATACCTCATTGTCTTCCTCATTCATTTATTCACGCTTGTACAGTTGAACTTACTGATTCATTCTCACTTCAACAATATAATGTTGACGAGGGTTTCTTAATTTATACTCGGTCTTCTTCCTACCTCGTCATTCTTTTTACGACTATTTCATGATTCGTTTTAGTTATCTCTTAGTTTAACACTAATGTGTGTGGTATTTGAAATAGACTGATTATTTTCAGTTCTTGAATTCCAAATGGATCTTGGGCTCTAAGCCCTGAGGTTTCAATTGTGCTAATGTTGTTTTAACCTTCAATCGAAGTTCGACCTCCCATTTGGTTGGTGAGTACTCCAATAATAAACCACAAGTGCAAGAAACCACCCCATAGAAATGTACAGTTTCTCAGATATTACTCTTTCTTTTTATATCCAAGTCCACCTGCCCTAAAGCCTTTAACTTTCTGAAACACTAGTATTTGAATTTCTTTATAACTGGGAACAGCTTCAAAAGATTTGAACTGGTATTCGAAGTTGGTATTGCTTAGATCTACTGAGTACTGAATGCGCACCACTAGTATGCTCAAATCGCTGAACAGAATTCATGAGGTCTGAAATGATTCGGCTGTATGAGCTGAGTCGAAAGGGGTACACCGATGAGCTTGCCATCCAGTGTTTAGATAAACTTGATCTGACTAGCGGGTACTACCTTTTGATTTGAGAGACATTCAGCAACTCATCTCATTCTGTCAGTGGTGTATAGCACCAGAAGCATACATCTGAGCTACAAATCTTCTCCGTTATTTTACCCAGAAGAGTATTCCTTCAAAAATATTTTCTTTCTTTGATAAGACACTTACTTCTTCTCTATACTTTCTGACATTTTCTCCTCTCTAAAAATAGAAGCAAAAATCAAAACGGAAAGAATAATAAACGCTTAACAAATATTCTACTTTTATTTTTTTTTAAATGCGTAAACTTATGCAAATTCTAATCAGTTTCCTAGGGAAAATGAATTTTAGAAGAGTATATACAAAAATTTTCTTCTGTATATTTATAGGCATCGTTTGTCTAGATGATCAAAACTTGGTAGTGAGACAATCTGACAGTAAAAGTTTGCTGAATAAACTTCATAGAAAATGGAAATCTATCTTGTTTATCTACACTCCGTTTTATTCTTAGTCATAGTACGAGGAGGATGTTAATTATTGTCGTCACCATATGACTGGTCATGTCCTGATTTTGCCGACTGAACTTAATGAATAAATGGAACCAGTATCAGTTTAATCCACTGAAGACGAGTTCATTTACCCTCCCCCTCCCACATTATCTTCTCACTAATTCCTTACGCGTATATGTTAACTTAATAAGGTTAATGATTACTCATATCAAAGTTCGACTGGTGAAGCTTGTGTGTAGATAGAAAGGTGTCATTGTGATGTATGTTGACCGAATATGAAATGAAAATGTTGACTATGGTAAGATTGTAACCAGTGGCCTTCGACTTCCTTACCCATCACTCTACAAGTTGAGATAGGAGACCGAACTGTTATCCACTTCATTATTACACTGTGTAAATGGCATTTCAAAAGGTCCTATCACATATCATTTAGCAAAGCTTAATGACGATATTGTTATCAGTTACATATCTTGAGAAACCAATTAACAGGAGGCACCATGGATTTATAGAAGTCTGGATTTTAAGCTTGTAAAAATTAGATTTTTGTGAACAGGATAGAGATTGTAGTCAACCTATAAACCTTACCTAATAGCATACATCTTGTTATCATGTTTCTCCCTCTCTCTCTTTCCGCATAATTCAATCACATTTCAAACAAGTTTTAAGTCTTCATTATAATAAAGGTTTTTGTATTTCCCAATGAATGAAAAACAAAACGATATTGTTTTTACTGACGTTTCGCTATTTAATGCTAATAGCTTTATCAAAGTCTACTTTATTTTTATCCTTTGTACTATGATAACTCTGTTTAAGATTTTAAAATTATTTTTTTTATAAAATGTAACACTACTTATCATTTTCTTACACTTGTTCAACATAATAATCAAAGATATATTATAACAGTGTCGGTGTTGATTGTATTCACAAATGTTGACAAGTCTTTGTGAAATTCATTAAACATTTATAATGTGTTCAGCTTTCTCTGGATTTGTTGCTTGTTTTAAATTCACACTGAGAAAAAAAAGATGGAGATCTTTCAAATGACAAAAAGAAAAACAAAAACTGTACGCATACTCGCACACACATATACATACATACAAAGTTTAAAACAAGTAGACGATAGCTGCGAAAGAGTGAATGAAAAGCGTTTTAATATCTTACTAAATGAAATGATAAGAAACACGTTTGAAGTGAAACACTTGCTGTAAGATAAGAAAGTTATATATATATATATATACATATATAATATATATATACCTTTGTCTTCTATATTTATTACCACTTAACATAAAAGGGGTAAACAAGACGACTTTCTTTTCTTTCTTTATCTCACTTCCAGATTTATGACGTAAATTATCCAATTGTTAAGTTTTTTTAAAGATAAATTTACATTTGTTTTCATTTGTGAAATCAAAACTCTAAATGTTTTTTCTAAATTCAGAGCAAATATGTAGTAAGTTTTTGATGATAAACTATAAAAATGTAAACAGATAGTGAGTGGATGCAGGACGAAGATGACTGAAGTTATAGTGGGAAGTTATGATCAGTAGGATTAACTAGGCCAGATGTAGGGAAAAATACTTGCTGATGATACTAGCTAGCGGTTGCGGTATGTATACAGTGAATTGGCAGAAGTTGAAATTCATGGGCTGGCTATTGCATTTCGTCCCAATGACTGAATGGTCAGCCAGCTCACTGTTGTAACCTGAAGGTACTACATCCGATCCCTGATGGTTGGTTTAAGAGTACGTACTAGTGAAAATATCTACACTGGAACACAAGAGGTGAACAGTAAACCCTAATTTTTAACAGTTCTTTAACTTGAAACCAATGAAAGTACTGAAAACGAACAGTTGAAAGTGGAATAAAGGTTGAATTTTAAAAGTACCACTTTATTTTCTCTAAGAGAATTATTTTGACATTCCATAGATGATATGTCAGATTGATTACTGACATAAATAACTTCATTTCAAAAATAAACAAATACATTGTAACTACAAGTAATCAGTATCACACATCTGGTACTGAATAACTTGACTTAAACAGTCAAGTTTACACTGTGGTCATCATTTTAATGGACTGGTCACTGATGTAGACTTTTTGAATTCGTGATATTTGATTGGAGATAAGAATCTCTGCACTAAGGTTTATTTTTTATTAGTATTCATCAACATAGCTTACTTGTAACACTCTGAGGTTCCAAATTCCGTGTCACTCTCTGAGGTAGTCAGAGATGCTACCAATCAGTTATTTTAGCCTACGACAGACCCTATCACTGACCAATCAACGTAACTGTTACAGCCCTAAAAGAGGTCAATCATTGCTACAGCACTGAGTACCGAGGATTTCCACTCCAAAGTTGCACATAATCCTTGCCGATTTGTGCCAGTAGGCGTGAAATCTAGGTGTTAGGATGTCTTCAAATGCCTCTGGTCGTCTCAAATTACTCTTCATTGACTGCCTAATAAACCATAAAATCACTAAACTGTAGAATTTACGCTGAAAATATGAGGTGAATATTTTTAAAAATGAAGTACTCATTGCTGGTGAGTTAATATCAGTAATACACGTCTCATCATTATTATTATCCTATGTTATTGTCACGATAAAAAAGGGGTTGATTTAATTTGCATTTGCTTTATTTTTTTAATTAAATTTTATACGTTTGGAACAGCTTACAGGCATATTTTCATTATCTGTGCGTCGGTGGCACAGTGGTTAGGACTCTCGCCGACCATGCACATGGTCCAGGGTTCGAGCCCTCGCCGACGCACACCTGATATCTATGGTCGGCCTGCGAATTTTGGGCTACCGATATCCACGCTGAAAATTCCACACGTGTACCAAATATACGGTGTGGAATCAAGCTGTAATAAAAAAAAAATCATATACTGAACAAATGTCCTCGCAATTATTATTGACAGTATTATTTTTTATTTTCGAACATAGTTTGGATAGATGTGCACTATTTCTGAAACGATCCAAGCATCATCACACGTGCTCCGATCAGTCTCTGACTAATTCTGCTATCAATGAGCATTATACATTGATTTTTCAGTAGCAGAATACTCACCAGCCTTGTGGCAGTTCCCGTCAACCAATGAACTCTTAATCCTCATTCATTTCACCAGCTGAGAGTAAGCCTAGATTAGTTAGTAACTTGTGTAGTGCGTCTATCCCTCTGTTTGGTGCAGAGTGAGCTGAGTGGTAACTTCTCTGACTGCGGTACTAAGTGACGCGGGTTCGAATCATAGATGGGACATAAGTTCCCTAAAGGTTGTAGATACGTTTTGCTGACTGGTAAGTGCCACCTAGCACGAAACCTAGGTTCAAGGTTTCCTACCAATAGCCTACATCCATCTGATATTCAAAGTCTACATTGCATTCCAAATATCCATTGAGAACTGACAAATCAATTGGATTTTGTAATAACTGAGGGAGAATATAAGCTAAGTAAACAACACACTCGGTTTTTTTTAGATATATAACTTTTAAAATTTGTTTTCACTTGGTTTCGATCAACTTGTTGTCATTACAACGTTCACACAAGCCAAAAGAAATATGTATCGATGAACATTTGGTAAACTTTTTATATTCTGAAAGTGAATGTCCTTTTTGATTGTAAATAGCGTACAATGTGTCACTCAATTTGAATTTTGGTATAAATTATAACTCAGTATTGCATGAAATCTAGAAAGCTGTTCAATAAAATATAAAACTGATGTGAAATTCCGTGAATGTTTCTTTCAAAGTTATTTTAACGTAAATAGTTGTTAGATTCATCCAGTACTGACCAGTGACAAAATAGATTACACCAGAAGCTGAGATCAACCTAAGAATCCTTAAAATCATTAATAATGAGTAAATATATGAGTGTTTTCTACTGTATACTTACGAGATTATTCAGATACTGTCTAAACCTTTATCAGAACTCGTTATTATTTTGTTTTGATGAGATAGGGAGAACATTTTCAATAAACTGTTCCACACAAAGTCAGATAAGAATGAAATATGATAAGTGCATGTAAGAAATTAATAGAATATTTCATGTCAATTGAACTGGATTATATCATTAGGATAAAACGAATATTTATAATAGCAATGAACAATTTACAAAGTATTAAATCTGATTTGTTGTTATTATTTCAAAAGTTTAATCCTCAGATCTTTATACAGTATGTATTTTATTTGTTCATAAAGGTGTAAAAAGTCTTAACCAATGTCGATATATGTCGGCCCACTTATAATTCTGCAGTGTTTTAAAAGCCTAGGGTTTAAATACTACCAAATCACTGATGTTAAGATACATTTTCGTGATTATATAAAGATCCACATGTTCTTAAACTGGAATGTTCTAGCTACTGAAGCATTCAGTGTTCCTGTTATTCCAGACATTTTGAACATAATCTGTAAACATCCTCTGTAGTTTGGATCACTGCATTATTACTCGGAATATATATATATATATATATATATATATATATATATAGAGAGAGAGAGAGAGTTAATTATACTTCTAGTCTTCTACCCTTCTGGAAATAACAGAAGAATAAGACTACTTATAAATTCTGTGGGATTTATACAAAAGTGTATGTGTGAAATCTTGCCGTTTTTAAAAAAATTTCATTTATGAGTTGCCTGCATCGACAGCTTGGTGACAGAATGCTCTCTAGCCACTCATGTGGCTCACGTTTGGTCATAATTCGACTCACC